TTGTAAATCTTTTCTGAACCCTTCCAAGTTTCACAGCATCCTTCCTATAGCTGGGAGACCAGAATTGAACACAGTATTCCAAAAGTGGCCTAACCAATGTCCTGTACAGCATCAACATGACCTCCCAATTTCTGTACTCTATGTACTGACCAATAAAGGCAAGCAGACCACATGCCTTCTTCACTATCCTGTCTACCTGGGCCTCCATTTTCGAGGAACTATGAACCTGTACTCCAGGGTCTCTTTGTTTAGCAACACTCCCTAGGACCTTAACCATTAACTGTGTCAATCCTGGCCTGATTTGAGAATAGAATAGAATAGAATAGAATCCCTACAGTGTGGAAATAGGCCCTTCAGCCAACAAGTCCACACCGACCCTCAGATCATCCCACCCAGACCCATTCACCTATAACCCACCAAATCTACACATCCCTGAACACTACGGGCAATTTAGCATGGCCAATCCACCTAGCCTGCACATCTTTGGACTGTGGGAGGAAACCAGCGCACTCAGAGGAAACCCATGCAGACATGGGGAGAATCTGAAGACTCCACACAGACAGTTGCCCAAGGGTAGAATTGAACCCAGGTCCCTGGCGCTGTGAAGCAGCAGTGCTAACCACTGAGCCACCGTGCCGCCCCAGAGGAAACGGTCAGCAGGATACAAACCTACACAGAGAAACCCCAATGGATTTCTAATCCATCGCCTTAACCACGACTATGGGTGGCTTTCCAAAATGCAGCACTTTCCATTTATCTAACATCTGCCACTCCTCAGACCAATCAGCCTATCCTTTCACCCTCTTTGTAAATTCTAGTTTTATCTGTTGGTTGACTGTTAGATTTGCATTCTCTATCCCTTCCTGTCATGGTCTATTTATCACTTCGTGCATGAATACATTTTTCTTTGGTCTTGACTTTATTCTTTGACTCACCACATCTTCCCAAACTTCATTTTATTGGTCAGTGCATTGAGTATAGGGGTTGGAAGGTCATGTGTGGCTGTACAGGACATTGGTTAGGCCACCATTGGAATACTGTGTACAATTCTGGTCTCCCTGCTATAGGAAGGATGTTGTGAAACTTGGAAGGGTTCAGAAAAGATTTACAAGCATGTTGCCAGGGTTGGAGGGTTTGAGCTATAGGGAGAGACTGAATAGACTGGGTCTATTTTTACTGAAGCATCAGAGGCTGAGGGATGACCTTATAGAATTTATAAAATCATGAGGGGCATGGATATGGTGAATAGCCAAGGTCTTTTCCCCAGAGCAGCGCAGTCCAAAACTAGAGGGCACAGGTTTAAGGTGAGAGGAGAAAGATTTAAAAGGAAGCTAAGGGACAACTTTTTCACGCAGAGGGTGCTGCGTGCATTGAATGACCTGCCAGAAGAAGTGGCGGAGGCTGGTACAATTACAACATTTAAAAGGCATTTGGATGGGTACATGAATAGGAAGGGTTTAAGAGGGATATGGGTCAAATGCTGGCAAATGGGACTAGATTATTTTAGGATATCTAGTCAGCATGGACGAGTTGGACCAAAAGTCCATGTTGTACATCTCTATGACACTATGACCTCATGCACCCTTCTTTTTAAGTGTAAAATTCCCTCTACTTCCCAGTTTTCTATTTGGCGAGAACACTGGTCCCAGCACAGTCCAGTTAGAGATCGTAGCAATGGGACAGATACAAAAATAGAAATTACTGGAAAAGCTCAGCAGGTCTGGCAGGATTTATGGAGAGAAATCAGTTCACGTTCAGTTCCTCAGAACCAAAACATTAACTCTGATTTCTCTCCGCAGATGCTGCCAGAACTGCTGAGCTTTCCAGCAATTTCTATTTTTGTCTGATTTACAGCATGTGCAGTGCTTTGGGTTCCCATTGGTACAGATCCTATATTCCCCCAATGATGATGCCAGTGCCCTACGAACTAGAATCCGCTTCTACAATGCCAGTTTTTGAGCCATGCATTCATCTCTCCATGCTAATTTGCCTTGTGCCAATTTGCACATGGCTCAGGCAATAACAGAGATGGTGACTTTTTGAGGTTTTGTTTTTTAATTTGATACCTACTGACTGTGCAGAAGCTGCTTCTGTGTCTTGTCTAGTCATTGATGCTTACATAGGCCACAATGACTAGATTTCTTTCCAGCCCTCGGCAGATGACCCGGTCACCAGACAGGTAACACAGCCACCTTAACACTCAATCTTTTTTGCAGAAAATGTTGTCAAACTCCATCACTATACTGCCTCCTACTACCACTAGATTTCTTCTTACTCCCAAGTCTTGAATGGCATCCTGTACAAGAGTGCCACGGTCATTCATCCTGCATGCTGCACTCTCATTCAGGTTAACTGAAAAAACCTCAAACCTGTCACACAACTGCAAACGCTGAGGTCCAGCACTCTGCATCAGAGTGCCTCATTCACAGTTACACTTTTCTGAACCTTGAACACTGACCAAATCAGACAACTCAAGCCAATAAGGTGTTACTGCTCGCTGGAACAAGAGAATCCAGGTAACTGTTCCTCTCCCTGGTGTGTCACCATTTCTGTAAATCACCGTCCAGCTTGAAAATTCAGAACTGCTCGAACTTCAAATATTTGCCACAGGCATGTTTGCTCCGGACCAAACAGGCATCCAGGAACTTGCAAATGCTGCAACTTTGACACACACTTGGCCTGCCATCCTTAATGTGCTCTTGTGAACTAATTCACTATTTTATCCAATTTTATATTTAGCTATGTTTTTATACATTTTATTAATCTTATCAGTGTTGTGGTACTATTTTGAATCTTGTGATAGAATAAATTTTAGTCACCAGATACTCACCATGTAACCAACTTCTTCTCCTTTAGCAGAGTAACAATCAATTTCTGAGGCTGAAAAAGATTAGGAAAAACAAAAGCAATAGAACACATTCTTCCCTTCTTTTTGTCAACTCCCTTAACTAATTAACTCTGGCACTATGTCACACAAAATTGTCCAGGTTTATATGCTCCTGAGACATTGGGTTTTAACAATGATCCAGTTTCAGCTGGGTTAATTCAGCTGCTCTTTCTCGGAAAACCTTGTTAAAATCTTGTTCAAGGGTAGCAACTAAAGAATTTCTACTGCAGATTGCAGTTGAATGCCAACCACAAACTATAAACCAGATTTTACAGAATTGAAAATTTAGACTTTCTTACCCCGCAACTGCATGCACTCAGTCTTAAAAAATATGTAATATTGAATTTGAAAATTGCACATTCAAGGAAGGAGTTGAGTGCTCAATTTAAATAGAGGTGCTGTCTCACAAATAAAATGTAAAACCAAGGACTGTTCATGCAGACATTATGACTCCATGGCACTATTCAAAGAACATGGACGATTTCCTAGTGTTTGGGCCAATATGTACCTGTCAATCAACTTCATCAAAAACACAAATGAACTGGTCATTTAAATCATTGTAGGTCATGGGAGCTTGCTACACACACATTTTATTTCTGCATAATACTACCAGCAATTCATAGGTTGCGAGACATTTTTTCAATATCCTGAGTTTATGAAAACTGACATCTAACAAGCAATCTTGTTGTCATGAAGACTATATCAAACCTAAAGATGCAATAATAGCATTGATTGAACAGGTTCATTTTCAAAAGAAATTCCATTTGAATTCCAATAACATTAGAAAGGAGAGAGGAAATATTTCTCAGATGTTAGCTAAGCAAAAAAGTAAATGTAAAAATTTCCCAGCAGAGAATACAGAATGGGGTGGAGATGATTGAGGATAATATGGAATAATATTGATGAGTTGAAATTCAGTTTTTACATCCAATTGTGAAATTTGAACAGTCATGCCTTACAGGAATCAATTTACAAGTTATGTTCATTTTAATTTCAAGCTCTATAGTTCTGAAATGGTCAAATTCTTCTGTCAGTGCCTGCAATGTGTGATATCATTTAAAAAGCATCAAAATAATAATTAAAGTATTTTTTCTGGAAATTATTTGTCATCACATGGATCCCATTCTGAGATCTTATCAAGGTGCAAATGGTTTCCTGATTATTAATTAATTAATGTTTATACATCCTCAGCCATTTGGATTTGCAATAGAACCATTTTTGTTACAGCTAGAAAAAAGTGGACAAGCTTTGTTTTTGTTATACATTGGAAACAGTAAACCAGCTTAAGAGTTTAATCTGTTAATTGTATAGAAAATAACTTTTCCAGAATAAATGACAACATTCAGTTTATCTGTAAGAAAAGGTCAGTATATTTATGGATTGCTTTATAAAAGGTACTATCATACATTGTTACATAGTAATGAATTCACAAAAATATGAAGAAATATTTACAAGTAAAACACAACCACAGAACAGTTTCACTTTCATCAAAATGAGACACTTAGCACAGTTTCTATTTGCACAAAACAAAACACTCTTTAAATTCATTTGATTCCATCTGGAAATTTGCAAGCACAAAAGTAATCCCTACATCACCAAAGCAGAAACTGCAATAAAACAAAACCCTAGAGCTAACAGGTGTATTTATTGTTCTTTCAAACCGTTACACACCTAGACCCCTCTGAAATTCACTGGGTCCCCCCACACCCCACTTTCCGGAAAGAAAAAGAAATCCAAACACTTTCAGGTTTAACCCTTTCACACACCTCTTCCTAGTTACAACCAAAATTCAGATAAGCTTGTTCCCAAAGTGATGAAAGAACTGAATTCGGTCAAGTGTTAAAAGACTGATAAAAGTGACAAGATAACTGCAGAAACATCATAGGTTTATGAATAAATATATTTTTGAGTAATGATTTCAATGAGAAATTATAACTTATTTGTGCCAGAATGATTAAATACAGTGATCAGAGAGCTACTGTACATAGGTTGGTTTAAGAGAATATATTGCCCAGGAAACAATTGAATAAAACCTAGTAACCTGGCATCTATGAGTGAAAGGGTTAAAATAACAGCATCTGTACAATATTAGGAAAAAAACAAGCAAATGAGCTAGTTTTAAAATAATAACCCTTTATTAGGTACCGAGTGTCCCTTACAGTGTTTTTGAGAAAAAAAAATTACAGTGGATATTAAGGAGGAAAAAAAACTTTGATATCCAGTTTATGCTTGGCTAACACACATACAAGGGATGCCATATTTTCTAATTTCTGTACACTCCTTTCTTCCTCCAAATAAATACAATTTGCACAGTAGGTATCAGAGATGAAAAAGTCTGACCTTTTAACATTTTTACTGTATTCCTTAATGCTTCCAATAAATCTAAGTAATTGATAGAGGTAATATTTATACAGAATTTACATGATACAAAGCTTGACACAAGCTGAAAAAATTGCTACCAGCTCATTGTTAAACATTTTTTTTAAATTTGCCTCCTCTAGTTAGAGTTGTATTTCAACAACCCAAATTACAATATTCACTTTCTTAATAAATTATTTACAAGCTTTTGAAGTACAAAGGAACCAGCAAAATTCTTTTTATTTGAAAGGATATGTTTCTACAAGAAACAATGTTCAGAGAGGAGAAACCCAGGTGCGCTATGTACACGATGAAAATTGAGCTCAAAAATCCTTTTTTAAATGTTTACATGTTTGAAATGATCCCTGAAAACTTCACAAAAAATTATAAATGAAATTTGTTGTGAAAATTCTGTCAGAGGTTAGAAAGTTTTTTTGTTTTTTTTCCTGTAGGTAGAAATTATTTTGTACAATATAAACAACAGGAAGAGAGCTCTCCTGGCTATGGATAACCACTAGAGCACAAAAAACCCTGGAACTTTATACAGAGAAGGTGATTACCAATAGTCACGTGCAAGTCTGTAAGCGAATAGTGCACAAAGCCTCCATAGGCCAAACCCTAGTGCATTAGCACAAAAATAAAAATTTGCTAAGCCAGCATATCTACAATTTGCAAAACATTGTTATAATTAAAAATATGTAAAAGGAAAATGACGGAAATAAAGCATTAAAAAAGCACCAAACTTAGACTAGATACACAAGATGCTAATGCTGAGGCCATAAATTCCCATCAACTACTTTATTTACTTGCGTAGAAATATATTCTGACCATAAACCTTCTCAAGTATTAAATGATCATTTCTTTGCATTTTCTTTTTCCTTATTGTATAAAAGAACACAAAAGAAAAGGTAGCAGCATTCACTTAGGCAGAAAGAAGAGTGGGGACCCTGCTCCACTGCATGGAACCTGGGAGGAAGAACTAGTACTGGACTAGTTTACTGTGACACAAAGTGGTAAACACCTTTCTTTCCAGAGGAAGAGCACCTGAATCCTAAATGCAGTCCCAACACTTATGTGCGTTTTAGCTTTAGGTTCAGCAGAAGTGCGAATTGTTGGTTTGGCAAGTGCAACCACATCTAGGTTACTGCTCTCAAATGGAGCATCTTACACCAGGCCCTTTTAATTGAGGGTTCCTCTACAGTGTTCTGCACCACACAGACATGGAATTTTCACATCTTCAATGGGGAATTTGTAGTCATATGTAATCTCCTCGTTCACATTTATTTGCTGTTTGGAGTAAATCACTATCTTCTTTTGTGACTCCACCGTGATAACTTTAGCGTAACAATTAGGCTGTTTATAGAGAAAAGGAATTCACAGTTAGGAAGGACAGTACAATAGCTTTGTGATCAAGTTTCAAGGATTTCTCTCCATGCCAAGAATAGAGGTTCAAGATACCTTTAGTTTTAGCAAGTGTATTTTTTTTTTAAATAAAGGACTCCCAACACTATTCTACCAAAATGAAAACAAAACTTGACATAAAACATTTGCAAAAATCAGTACTCTGTTAAATATTCAAGCGTAAGAGTAATTTTTAAGTTCCTTCTGATGTGTTGTACAAGCCCATGGCTCAATTAAAATTTAAACCCGAGTTCAGAATTTAAGGGGTAATTTTGTTGTATGGCAACTCAAGCAACCATAAGATTCATGTTTCTCAAAAGGCAAGTTACAATTAGGTGTCAGCAGATCAGACCTGTGAATTGTATTTCTGTAGAATATTGCAGGTGCCTTTTGAGAAATGCAATTACTTGTGTTGCTCCACTGTTAGCAATAAATGCAATGTGCCAATCTATTAATGTCTCAAAAATGTCAGCCTTTGATAACTAAGATTATAAAGTCACCAAACCAAAGCAGGTTGCCATGTCTACTCAGTATTTCTAGGTCTTCCTGTTTATTTTTCCAAGTTTAGCAGGGTTTTCTATTATCCAATTACTGATTCTTTGAAACGGCTTCTAGATTATATACTATTTGCCAATGATTTGGATGAAGGAATTGAATGTATGTTAGTTAAAATTGACATCAAGATAACGTTGAAAAGTAAGTTGTCAAGAGGAGGTAAACAGTTTACAAAGGGATATAAACAGGTTGTGTGAGTGAGCAAAAATCTGGCAGACAGATTATAATGTGGGTAAATGTATATTTGTTCACTTTGTCAGGGGAATAGAAAAGCAGCATACTATTTAAATGAGAGATTGCAGGACTCAACTGTACTGAGAAATCTGGAATTCCTGGTGCTTGAATCACAAGGTTAGTATGCAGGTACAGAAAGTAAATAGAAAGATGAATGGGACATTCTCATTTATAACAAGGAGAATGGAATGTAAGAATAGGAAAGTTTCATTTCAGCTGTAGAGGCATTGGTGAGGCCTCATACGCAGTAGTATGTACAGTTTGGGTGTACTTATTTGGAAAAAAATATATATTTGCTTCAGAATAATTCGGAGAACATTCACTTTACTCATTCCTGGAATAAAGGGTTTACTTTAGGAAGAATGAATGAGAAGGTTAGGTCTATATCCATTGGAGTTTAGAAGAATGCGAGGAGATCTTGTGGAAACGGGACATGCCATTTGGCACTTTCAGCCTGTTTTGTTATTCAGTAAGATTAATGCTAAATGAATATCAAAAATCTAACTAACTCAACTTGAAATAAATTTAAAGACTTAGCTTCCACGACCTTGTATGGAAGTGGAAACACAAGATCAAGGGAACTATATAAGGCGAATACCATGAAAAGTTTATTTTTTGTTGGGGGAGGCTAAAACTATCAGGCATAGTTTAAGAATACAGAGAGGAGGAAAACCTTTATCTCCCATGGAGTAATTAGAGCATGGAATTGACTTCCAAACAAGGTAGTGAAGGCTGAGTCTTTAAATTTATTTCAGGCTGAGTTAGTTAGATTTTTGATAGACAAGGGTAGTCAAGGATAATGGGTACATGTAGGAAAGTGGAGCTGAGACTAAACTAATTTAGCATTAATCTTACTGAATAACGAAATAGGCTCAAAGTGCCAAATGGCCTATCCTGTTCCCACATTTCTATCTTTCTAAATGTTGAAGTCAAAACAATACTTGCATCAGTTACATGTTAAAGTTTTTACACTTAAATACATCTGACAAACGCACATACTTACATTGCAGCTATGGTTGATAAATCTGGCAAAATTGCCACACTTTGTGGCATCGATAATGGAATCGTGGTCTACCCTGAACATGTAGCTACTTCCAATCCCCTCATCTTCATATCGCTTTTCTCGCATGTCTGCAATAACCTGAACAGAAATAAAATCAGGTATGGATTAAAGGAATTTTCATTCCATGTTTGACAAATGAATAACACAGATTTTCTAAATAATGCATGGGACGCTGGTTTGTAAAGAACAATGAATATCCGTCGTGGGAATAAATGGTTAACTGAAATGAGACATTTGGCTCTCTGGGTCTGAGTACTGTGGGTCAAATCAGGTACGCAATTATCTGTTGCCATGTGATTAGCGCAAAATTATTCATTTAATGAAATTCATTTAAAGCATTACAAAAAATTTGTAGAAGATTTTTACAATGTTAAGTGATTAGTTTTCCATGTCGGTTATAGAGTGGCATTCAATGCGCCTGGTTGGATTCCCATGGACAAGTTGATACTTAGCAAATAAATAAATTGACAGCATTGTCACGAAGTTCAGCAACATCACCAAAGGATGCCTGGTAGTGCTCCCTATTCATAATGTCAATGAAGGAACAAAGATTCCATTGAAACTCAAACCTCAGTTTACCTCTAGCCTGCAGTATCAAAGCATAGCACTCAGCAATGAGGAAAGATTGAGAAACTGCTGTACATAGATATTTCTGGTTACCAGCACCATCAATTTGGATCAGTGATATTCTTGCTTCAAATAACACTTGCAATTTTAAATTTAGAAAGCTCTTGATCCTTCAGCAATAGCAGAGTGAGTCTTAAAGAATGGCAGAGAGAGCAAGACCGCACTTTGAGAAGGAAAATGAGCTGAATGGGGAATAAGAAGCACCCTAACCAGTTTGAAGGTTCAGAGTGTGTGTCAGAAAGAAAAATCAGGATGCAATATCAGAGGGGAACAAATAGGTAAATGACTGGTGAGTATTGTTGCTTAGAGACTGAGTTTAAACATCAAAAATATTATGTATTAACAAATAACATTGAGCAGCTGATGAGTCTAATCCTTTCTTCAATTAAAGATTATTACTATGAGTAAGGTGTATTAAGTACTTGTAGGATTTGTTAGTATTTGAAGATTTATTATTTTTGGTACGGAATTATTAGCAGTAGTAAGATTATTAGTTAATGATAGATGTCAGCTAGATAATTTGATTGCAATAAAACTAATTACATCGTTCAGAGGAGAATTGAAAAGCAAATAAGGGAAGCAAACAAACAATATGAAAGAATAATCACAGCTAACTTAAAGGGAATCCCAAAGTCCTCCTAAGGCTTATAAATCAGTAAAGGGTGGTGACGGAGGAGTAACTAGTTGTAAGGGACCAAAAAGGGGATTGGCAATGACTCTGAACCTACAAACTGGTTAGGGTACTTATTATTCTCCCGCATGGAAGCAGGGGGAGTAGTTTTGGTTTTAAATGAATATTTTCCAACTGTCTTTACCAAGGAAGAAGATGCTACCCAGGCAACAGCAATTGATACACCAGAAGGATTTAAAATTGATAAGGAGAAGGTTTTTCCTAAACTGTCTATACTTAAAAGCTGTTGAGGCACCATCACTGGATAAGATGCATCTAAGGTACTGAAGGAAATGAATATTACGAGTCCCTATTCTTGCCACAGCAAAGCCCTTATTAAAATCAAAAATGACATTCTGGGTGATTGTAACCCTGACAGACTCGCCCATTTCATCTTTCTTGACCTGGCTGCAGCTTTTGACACAGTTGAACACATTATCCTCTTCCAGGTCCTCTCCACCAGCACCCATCTGGGTGGTTCTTCCCTTGTCAGTTTTAATTCCGATCAGTCTAGTGGTAACCACAGAACTACCTGCAATGCTTCTATTTTTCCACTCCTTCTGGAAATCAAGTGTCTATCATCAGCTCCTTTCTATTTCTTACCTACTTGATGCCTTGCTGACCTCATCTGAAAACACGTCAGGTTCCACAGGTATACAGACAACAGTTACCCCTATCTCAATATCACCTCTCTTGACCCCTTCACTACCTCAGATTTTACATACAAGTATGAAATATAATACAAAGTATTGTATGAACAGAAATTTCCTCCAAATTAATATCGAGACTGATGTGCATTTGTCATATATTTTGCTTTAACAACTGATGCTATCCTCCAATTTGGCCACTTTCTGCACCTCAAACAGACCATTTGCAACCTTTTCTCAAAGTTAATTTTTATGGAATACAATAGTCTCTGGCTAGGTCAACATTTGCTGCACATTTCTGATTGCCTTCAAGATGATGTTGATGAGCTGCATTTTTATACCACTATAGTCCATGCAGTGTAGGTACACTCACAGTGCTGTTAAAGATGCAATTACAGGATTTTGTCCAAGTAAAAGTGAAGAAACAGCAATATCGCTCCAAGTCAGGATATTGTGTGGCTTTGAGAGAAACTTACTAATTGTAATGTTCCCACGTGCTGCCCTTGTCAATCTAGGTGGTAGAGATCACAGCTTTGGAAGGTGCTGTTGACAGAGCCCTGCAAATTGCTCCAGCGCATCTTATAACAGTATGCAAAGCTATGGAGGGAGTGACTATTTAAAGTGGATTGAATGGTGCTAATCAAGCAGATTGAATTGTCCAAGGTACTGTAGAGCTTCGAGTGCATACATCCAGACAACTTCGCAGTATCCATTACATTCCTGATGTGTACCTTGTAGATGTTGAGTTTGGGTACTTAGGAGGCATGTTACTTCAGAATTCACAGTCTATGACCTGTTCTTGTCGATGATGTATATATTTTGGTGGGTTAAATTAAGTTTCTGATCAATGGTAACCTCAAAGTGGGATTCAGTGATGATAATGCCATTGAACATCAAAGGGAGATGGGTTAGATTTGCTCTGGTTGAAGACGATCATTGTCTACCACTTATCAACTGAACCCTGAATATCATCCAGGTCTTGCTACACGTAAGCATGTACTACTCTTGTATTTAATGGAGTTGTGAACGAACACTGTACAAACATCAACATTCCTGTCTCTGGCCTTACGATTGCAGTAAGGTAATTGACAAAACAACAAGGGTAACAGGGTTTATGACACTTTTGATAGGCTTCCTTGATGCCACATTTGGTCATATGCTTCCTTGATATCAAGGGCAGTCACCTTCACCTCACCACTTGAATTCAGTTATTCTGTTCATTTGAACAAAGAATAATGAAGTCTGCAGTAGAGCAATCCTGGAGAAATCCAAATTATCAATGAACAGATTATTGCTGAATAATTGCCATATGATAGTAAATGGCACCTTTTGTCACTTTGCTGATGTTTAAAGTAGACTAATGGGGCAATAATTGGTCCCCTAATTGCATTTGTACTTTTTGTGGACAGCACACACCCAAGGAAACAATCCATGTTGTTGGGTAGATGCCAGTGTTGTAGTTGTACTGGAACAGCTTTACGATCAGCACAATTAGTTCTAGAATTAATGAGCCTTTGAGTCTGATAGCTGGCATGTTAGCAGAGCTCACAACCACTGCTGTTTTCTACCCAACAAAAAAAATCAACTCCACCACCAAGAGTGCAGACTTTCATCTCAATGATCTACTGATAAAAACACTCATCTATGCCTTTGTTAGATCTAGACTCGACTTTATTACAGTATTTTCCTGTCTGGTCACTCACCTTCCACGCTACATAAACCTTAAGTCAACCAAAACTTTGCTACCTATATCCTAACTTGCACCCATTGTTTACCCATTATTCCTTTGCTTACTGACCTACAATGGCATCTGGTCTAGCAACATGTCCATTTTAAAATTTGTATCATTGTTTACAAGTCCCTCCATGTACCCTTCCAGCTCTGCAATCATCCAACATCTATGCTTCTCTGATTCTGACCTTGCATATTCCAATTTTAATTGCTCCACCCATCGCTTCAACTAAGTTCTTTAACTCCTCCCTAAACCTGTCCCTCTATATTTCTCTTCTCTATAACTTAGATCTTTTATCAAGGTTTTGGCAAACTTTTCTAACATTTCCTTATATACCTTCATGTCAAATTTTGATAATACCCTCTGAAGCATCTGAGGATAGGTTTTGTGTGTGTGTGTGTGTCTGTGTGTCTGTGTGTGTGTGTGTGTGTGTGTGT